GGTTGCTGTGAGCTATGCCACGGCACTCTACCCAGGGGGTCAGCTTGAGGCTCTGTCTCAAAAAAAAAAAAAAAAAGAAAATTTCCCTTTTTTCTTTTTCTTTTTTTTTTTGAGACAGTCCCACTCACTTGCCCTGTCTGGAGTGCTGTGGCATCATCATAGCTCACAGCAACCTCAAACTCTTGGGCTCAAGCAGTACTCTTGCCTCAGCCTCCTGAGTAGCTAGGACTACAGGCCCCTCCATGAAGCTTGGCTAGTTTTTCTATTTTTAGTAGAGATGGGATCTTGTTCTTGCTCAGGCTAGTCTCAAACTCCTGAGCTCAGGCGATCCACCCACCTTGGCCTCCCAGTGTGCTAGGATTACAGATGTGCCCCCCAGCCTCTTTTTTTCTTTTTTGAGACAGTCTCCCTTTGTTGCCCAGATAGAGTGTGGCCTCATCACAGCTCACTGCAACCTTGTACTCCTGGGCTCAAGCCATCCTCCCAGATCATCCTGCCTCAGGCTCCTGAGTAGCCTGTGACACAGAACCCAGCCTCAGCACAAGACTTTGAAAGAAACTTAGCTGCCCTTTTTCTGAGATATCTGAAGTGATGTCAGGAAAAGTGGAACAGACATCTAGCACTGTTGCTTCAGAGCAGATTTGTCAGCAGTTGGTAGAATCTACAGGGCGGAGGCTGGGACCCTGGTGAGCCCTGGAGCTCATTTCTTAGAATCTGCTGATTGTTGTTGTGTAAAAATCATCTTTTTTTTTCTTTTTTGAAACAGAGTCTCACCCTGTTGTCCAAGCTAGAGTGCCATGGTATCAACCTAGCTCACAGCAACCTCAAACTCCTGAATTTAAGCAACCCTCCTGCCTCAACCTCTCAAGTAACTAGAACTACAGGTGCCTGTCACAACGCCTAGCTAATTTTCCTATTTTTAGCAGAGACGGTATCATGCTCTTGCTCAGTCTGGCCTCGAACTCCTGAGCTCAAACAATCCTCCTGCTGTGGTCTCCCAGAGTGCTAGGATTATAGGTGTGAGCCACCATGCTGGCCTAAATACCTTCAAAAATACATAAGGGCATAAAGTGCATAAGGATATATTTAGAAGATGTTCACCATAATACTGTTTGTAATTATGAGAAACTGAAAACAACTTAAAAGTCCATGAACAGAAGGCTAATAAAATTATGGCAAAATCAAATGGTGGAATACTCTACAGCTATTATAAATAATGAGGTTTTGGATGGAAATACATCCATGATATAATAATAATACTGAAAATAGAAAAAGTAATTACACATATGTGTGCACAATTTCTGTGTGTGTGTGTGTGTGTGTGTGTGTTTTTATGGTTTTTTTTTTGAGACAGAGCCTCAAGCTGTCACCCTGGGTAGAGTGCCTTGGCCTCACAGCTCACAGCAACCTCCAACTCTGGGCTCAAGTGAGTCTCCTGCCTCCGCCTTCCAAGTAGCTGGGACCACAGGCGTCCGCCACAACGCCCGGCTATTTTTTGGTTGCAGCCATCACTGTTGTGTGGCGGGCCCAGGCTGGATTTGAACCCGCCACCTTAGGTGTATGTGGCTGGCGCCTTAGCCACCTGAGCCACAGGCGCTGAGCCCTGTGTGTGTTTTTATACCAAATGGGTAATATGGAAGGAACAACATCCTTTAACATTTCTGCAAGGTGTGACTTGGCTGGAAGAAGTCTCAGAGCTGAGCGCCTCTGCCTCTGCATAGGAGCGCCTAAAGGGGAAGTGATTATCTGGCTGCCTAGCTCCGCCAGCACAGAGAGGGTGCTCCTTCAGCACGTCCTGAATGAATGACACCTGAGGACACAATTCAGCTCCCCCTTGACCACCCTGGCTATCAGTACCACAGATGAAGTGTGCAGGATGATGGTGACCACCCCCCACCTCCAAGGGGGTGCCCTGCAGAAGCAGAAGGCCCTTCTAGGCAGCCAGAGGCTTAGCAGGCTGGGCCCATTGTGGAGGAGGAGGCTCCCAAAGACCTTGTTGCTATCTGAGGATCCCAGAGTCAGTATCTCTGGGAGGGGAAGGCAGCGGAGTTCATAGCTCCTATTCACCATCTTTTCTAATTACAAAAGTGGTTTATTTACAAAATAAACAAAACAAAGGAAAGAAAAAATAGAGATTACACCTATAGTTTCACCTCTTAAAAGTGCTCAGTGTTGACATCTGGGTGGGTTCTTTTGCTTTCTGCAAACGGATACATGCAAACTATCTTTAAAAAATGAAATACTCGGCTCGGCACCTGTGGCTCAAGCGGCTAAGGCGCCAGCCACATACACCTAAGGTGGCGGGTTCGAATCCCCAGCCCAGGCCCGCCAAACAACAATGATGGCTGCAACTAAAAAATGGCCTGGCGTTGTGGCGGGCGCCTGTGGTCCCAGCTACTTGGGAGGCGGAGGCAGGAGACTCGCTTGAGCCCAGGAGTTGGAGGTTGCTGTGAGCGTGATGCCATGGCACTCTACCCAGGGGGACAGCTTGAGGCTCCGTCTCAAAAAAAAAAAAAAAAGAAATACTCTGGGGCCAGGTGCGGTGGCTCAGGTCTGTAGTCTAGCACTCTGGGAGGCCCAGGTGGGAAGACTGTTTGAAGCCAGGAGTTTGAGACCAGCATAAGCAAGAGAGACCCTGTCTCTACTAAATATAACTTTAGCGAGGTGTATATGCCTATAGTCTCAGCTACTCAGGAGGCTGAGGCAGTTTGAGGTTGCTGTGAGCTATGACGATAGCAGTACACTCCAGCCTGGGCAACAGAGCAAGACTCTGCGGCAGGAAGAAATGAGCTACTAAAAATTCTGCTTTAAATGTAGGCTATCACTTTCCCACATAGCAATATATAGTGAGTGCTTTCCCTTAGCAGGGAATATTTTTCTAAAAGATGTTTAATGGCTGCAAATTATTCCATTCTATATAATTTATGTAACTAAATTCTTTTTCTTTCCAGAAATAGGGATTTCCCCTAATTTTTCATATTAGAAGTACAGTTGAACATTATCCCTCCAGCCCTTATTCATTTCTCGGAATTTTTCTCAGGAGTATACAGATTTTACAGAACTTGAAAGCAGTGATTCTTTTTAACTAAATATTCTCTAAGGCAAGTGGTTTTCAACCTTCCTAATGCCACGAGCCTTTAATACAGTTCCTCATGTTGTGGTGAGGAAAATAATTTTATGGCTGGGGGTCACCACAAGATGAGGAACTGTATTATGGGTCACAGCATTAGGAAGGTTGAGAATCACTGCTCTAAGGAGATGAATTTCCCTGTAGCTTTAGAGAAACTTCCTGGCACAATCCTCTGGAGAATCACAAGACATTCTCTCCCCCAAGCTCTGCTCCTGAAGAACGCTTACCTTTCATTTTCCAGTGACTTCAAAATCTCAGAACTTTTCTTTTGTCTGTGGAAAAAAACAAAAATGTCCACACAGTCACTAGTAGGCCTGTTTCCAATAGGATTGTCTGCCTTGCCATGCAGTCTGTGCAGCCCCATCACTTAGGAATTCTGGATTCTCAGTCGGTCACTCAAACCACTCCAAGCCCCAGGTTTCCTCACCTGTAAAATGGGAATAATGATAATAAAAAAATAAAATTATTTGGCATTGGGGCCAAGCTTGGTGGCTTCCAGCTACTTGGGAGGCTGAGGCAAGAGAATTGCTGGAGCCCAAGAGTTTGAGGTTGCTGTGAGCTATGATGTCACGGCACTCTACCAGGGGCAACAAAGTGAGATTCTGTGACAAAGTTAGACTTTGTCTCAAAAAAAAATTACTTGGCATATTTGTAAAGAGTGATGAGGAAATACACGTAACGTGTTTGGCACAAAGGAAACACCCAACAAACTGCAGCTTTCCTAGACCCACTCAAGACGCTTAGAAAGTGACAGATAATGGAAGAACAAGTGACTAGGGGGAGAGAAAAGATGCCTGGCAGCAGCAGGCCATGTGACTAAAACCTGTATCTGGAATCTTTCTGCCATGGCCCCCTACCTAGATGTCTCAGGCTTCTTGAGATCTCTCTGGCCCCCTTCCTCCCCAGCCCCATCGGGAACTGCTCTTAGAGCAGGTGTTAGCAGCCCCTCCCTTGCATAAAATTTGCTAAGGCAAATCTCACTGCAGGGTGAAAGGCTGAGCTCAGGGCATTGGGTTACTTGGAACCTAAGTATTGGAGCAGTATGTGATCCCAATAATCTTGTTAAAACCACTTACTTTATACTGTAAATGGTAAACTTGTGACCCAGTGGGGAAACACCTGCCTGAGGCTACAGTCCCATTGGTGGCAGTCCCCTGATAAGAAACCAGACCCTGCAGTGCCCAGATCAGATTATATTCCCTGTATGCTGGTGCAAATCAAAGCACCCAGATTGGTCCCTAACAATGGAAGCCTAGGGGAGGAAACTGTGGAAGGAGAAATGGATCCAGCATCCTAGCCTCCTCCAAGGTGTCACATGGGGGAAGGACTGTGTGGGTCGGAGCCGGGTGGACAGAGCCTGACCTCTGGTTCTCCTGCAGGAGCTTCTGGATGCGGCTGGAGATGTTCTGCTCTGTCTGCTTCAGTTGTTCCTGCAGCCGCTGCCGCTCTGCATCGAGGTAGCGCTGGCGTTCACTCAGGCCCTGGTCCAGGCGAGACTGCTCCTGCAGCAGGTGTGGGCAGAGGGCCTGAGCAGGGAGGGGCACTGACTGGGGTCAGGACAGTGGCTTTCCCAGCCTGCCTTGCCAGTCCTTTCTGTGACTGTGGGCCAGTTCCTCAGTTGCTAGGCCTCAGAGCCCCCATCAGCACTCAGGAGCTGGACTGTTAAGGGCCCTCCCAGGTGCTGGTGGATAGCAGTGACAGTTTAATCCCATTGTCTGTCCCTCTCAGCGGGCCTAAGCTGCTCACAAACCTCCTTGACCGTCTGCAGGATCTCGCCCTTCTGGCTGCTGCACTGCTGCAGGAGCTGGGCATGCTCACGCTGCCCCAGTTCCAGGCGTCGTTCGAACTCGAGTTTCTCTAGCATCTTCTGTTCCTACAATAACATACATCCTGGTGACTTCTGGCACAGGCCCTGTGGGCATTAGGACATGGGACCAGGTGAAGCCACCCCTCAACATGGAACTATGCGGGCTCCAGGCCTTAATGCCTAGCAACCCCAATCCCCATCCATCCTAGGGCCCAGCAGTGATAAAACAAGTTATTCACAGGCACAGGCTGGTGATTTAGAGCCTGGGGTTGGGCTCCACCTCTCTGAGCCTCAGTCTCCCCATCTGTCAAATGGAGACCCTCTACCACTCAGCTGAGCTGTGTGCGGAGGTGGCAAACAAAACAACACGTGCAAGAGGAAAGCATTACTTTAACCTCTTATTTAGAGTCAGGAAAAAGTCATTTCCTCAAATATTTTATAAGTTGAAATTTTGAATGAGAAGAAAAGTAACAGGAGAAAAGGCATTCTCTTACCTTCCTCTTCTCATAGTCTGAGAACCTATTCTGGGGGGAAAAAAGATGGTGGTCAAGAGGTGGCAGCAGTGGCCTCACTGGTACATGCACAGGGCCTCCTGGGCAGCCTGACTACAGACAGACTCTGGCCTACCCGAACTAGAAGGGATGGGGACATGGGTGTTGACCAAGGGCCCAGGGTGTTTTCAGGGGACACCAGGGTGAGAACCATGTGGTTGCTGCCATGTGCTCAGGACTACAGGAAAGAGTAAGAAGGCATCCTTCCAGATAGTTCTGGGGAGGCAGCACTGAGTGGGTATAGTCCACTGAAAAGACTATCAAGAAATGGAGATTTTGATTCCCTTGGATATCTGGGGGGCCTGGTTCTACCCAGATACTCTCAAATGCACAAGGTGTCTGTACAAGTTCCCACAGAATTATTCAAAGAGCAAGGGCACTGGGAAGAACTCACACCTCCAACAGAGGTGATGGCGTCAGTAAGTCATGGTGTAACCACACAACAGCTGTTACACAACTGTCAATGGGGTGAACATGCCTGTAGTTAGGGAAAAAGATGTCACCATTCTTCACCTGTGCGGGGCATGGTCTCACTTTTGTAAAAACAACCCAACTCTGAGCATATGTGGATAGGTATTGAAACAAAAGTCTAGAAGGACATTCCTTAGTCAGTTAAGGATGTCTATCTCCAGCAGATGGGATTATAGGATACAAGGGTTGATATTTGCTTACTTTATAACTGCACTATTTAAATGTGTAACAAGAAGCTCAAGAATTACTTTCATAATCAACCATTAATATACACACACACAAACATTTTTTTAATGGTCCTTCAACAAATATTTGGTGATCCTGCTGTATGATCACGATTGGTCTGTGTTTCAATTGTAAAGCAGCCTCTTAAAAATAGAATTTTTCCTATTCTGATGACAGAAAGTATATTTTTTATTTATTTAGAGTCTTACTCTGTCATCCGGGTAGAGTGCCGTGGCATCATAGCTCACAGCAACCTCAAACACCTGGGCTCAAGTCATTCTCTTGCCTCAGCATCCCAAGTAGCTGGAACTACAGGCACCCACCACAACACCTAGCTAGTTTTTCTATTTTTAGTAGAGACAGGGTCTCACTCTTGCTCAGGCTGGTCTTGAATTCCTGAGCTTAGGCAATCCACCTATCTTGGTCATCCAGAGTGCTAGGATTACAGGTGTGAGCCACTGTGGCTGGCCCAGAAGTATAATTTTTAACTTAATCTTTAATTATATAGATAATATCTGAATATATTCTCCTTGCAAATTTATTTATTTATTTATTTTTTTTTTTTTTGAGACAGAGCCTCAAGCTGTCCCCCTGGGTAGAGCGCTGTGGCATTACAGCTCACAGCAACCTCCAACTCCTGGGCTCAAGCGAGTCTCTTGCCTCCGCCTCCCAAGTAGCTGGGACCACAGGCGCCGCCACAACGCCTGGCTATTTTTTGGTTGCAGCCATCATTGTTGTTTGGCGGGTCCGGGCTGGGGATTCGAACCCGCCACCTTAGGTGTACGTGGCTGGCGCCTTAGCCGGTTGAGCTATAGGCGCCGAGCCCTCCTTGCAAATTTAAATAAATGACATATAAAACTAAAGCACTTAATACTCCTGGCCCTCATGGCCTATGCCCAGATATAACGATCACCATCCATTCCCAAAGCCACATATATAATTTGCACACATATAATTTGTACCTTTGGAAAACTAATATATTTGTATGTGTGTGCATATATACAGGGTGGACATAAGGCTTGTGTGCAATTTAAAGTTATTTATATAAGCTTTTATCAAGGTATAATTTTTTTTTGAGACAGAGTCTCACTTTAGTGCCGTGGTGTCACACAGCTCACAGTAACCTCCAACTCCTGGGCTTAGGCGATTCTCTTGCCTCAGCCTCCTGAGTAGCTGGGACTACAGGTGCCTGCCAGAACGCCAGGCTATTTTTTTGTTGCAGTTTGGTCGGGGCTGGGTTTGAACCCACCACACTTGGTATATGGGGCTGGTGCCCTACCCACTGAGCCACAGGCACTGCCCTATCAAGGTATAATTTACTTACTATAAATTTTACTCTTTTTTAGTAAACAGTTCTACGAATTTTAACTAACGCAAAGAATCCTGTAGCCACCACAATCAAGATGTAGAACATTCCATCATCCGCAAAGTTCCCTTATTCCCCTTCCTCATCAATTCCTCTCCCACTTTTAGCTGCTGGAGGCTACGGATGTTTTCTGATGTATTTGTTTCCTCAGCATTAAAAGTATAGAAACAGGCTATGCTCACTCTGCTCTGCAACATGCTTTTTTCACTCAAAGCAATTTTGGAATTCATTTTTCTGGAATGCCCATCAGAGCTGTCATATGACATCTGACAATTAAGTTCGAGAACTCATCCTAGAAAACGTGAAGATGGACTAGGTGCTGGCACCATGCATAGCTTCCCAAGGGGAATGCTTTGAAAGTGACTGTAGTGATATTCAGCAATGACGTATGTAATCACTTTTTCTTTCTTTTCTTTTTTTTTTTTTTGAGACAGAGCCTCAAGCTATCGCCTTGGGCAGAGTGTGGCCTCACAGCTCACAGCAACCTCTAACTCTTGGGCTCAAGTGATTCTCCTGCCTCCACCTCCCAAGTAGCTGGGACTACAGGCACCTGCTACAATGCCTGGCTATTTTTTGGTTGCAGCTGTCGTTGTTTGGCGGCCCAGGCTAGATTCAAACCCGCCAGCTCAGGTGTATGTGGCTGGCTCCTTAACTGCTTGAGACACAGGCACTGAGCCTATAATCACTTTTTTCTAGGATGAATTCTTGAAGTTCATTTTCTGACCTCGTGCGGCTACAATGGACATTCTTACACGTCTCCTTGTGCCAATGTTCCTCTGCAGTGTATACCGAGACATGGAACTTCTGGATCATGGGCCGTGACCAACTGAATTTTTGCCATCTATTTGCAAATTATCCCTCAAAGTGGTGATACCAAATTGCACCCCCAAGAACAGCTTATGAAGATGTCTGCTTCACTCTGGCCAATAGAAATAGTTAAGACAAAATTTATGACAGTCTGAGGAGGGAAGTGGCATTTCACTGTTGTTTTAATTTATGTGCAAAGCTTTTTTCTTTTAACATTTATTGACCACTTGTATTTTTTTCCATTGTGAAATTTTTTTTTTTTTTTTTTTTTT